TCCCAAAACCCACTCCCGTGAACTAAACAAAAAATTATTCACCAAAAGTACAGGTGAATAGTGGTGAATATTTACCTCACAGCTCGGTAAATATCCACCACTCTTACTGATGCTGAGTGAATAACTGTTTTAGTACTATATGCCATATACATAAACCAAAAATATTAGGTGAGTGGTGCCCTCTAGGGCAAATAGGAGTGTTCACAATATAGTCGATCCTGCATTAAGCGGTCACCCATAGGGAGTGGTGTTGTGACCACTTGATACAGTTTGACCTCTTGATACAGGTTTCACCGATGAGGGGTATTTTTAAAAACGATAAAACGCTACTTAATGTCATAATTGACCACCTCAAGTGCAGAATCTCGTTGCAAATTTTATTTACTTTGATTGTTTTAGAAAAAAAAAGATTAAAAAGTACTTAAAATAGTATTTTTAGTTTTATATGGGTAGTTCCGCTTGCAGTGACCGTTCAACACAAGTGAAAAACAGTTAAAAAATAGTCGATTTGGACTCAGTAAACGGTGACTGCGACCGCTAAATAGATGTGACCGCTTAATATAGGTACAGTTTACAGTGATTAAGGGATAAAAGATCCGGGACTTTAACAATTACAACTGACAGCTTATTACATGGTGACTGCTTAAGATAGGTTCGACTGAAACTACTAATTAGTAGTGTACACCGGGCGAACGCCTGATTTTGGAAAAGCCACCAGTGGTTGGGTTGCAACAGAGGTCGGCTGCCCTTGCATATGGATCGGCACCTGACAAGCTTCAAGTGAGCCATAGCAAATGCCCACCTGAAAATGAATTGAGATATGATGTGTTTTATAACCCTGGTTCATTTAATAACTTGTAGTCTATTACAGTTCTTCTCTTGCACAATTGGTCTAAACGCGTTTCGTGATCCAGTATGCATCAGTTAAAAATTGAGGAATATCAGGTGTTCAGTATAAACAATGCACACAGGTGAGTCGTGCTTATCGCGTGCGCTGAGGAAAATCTCCACCACTATTCACACTCACTTGGGTCAATAATTGTTAAAAACCGTTTACACACCATGTAGTCGAGGCAATTTGGCAAAAAAAGGTCTTCGACTGGTTTTTTATAGCGTGAATGACTGACTAACTGACTGATCATCAAAGTGATTCAAGTTGATAACGCAGAAATATCGAGTTTGTTAGATTCAAGAATCTGGTAATTATCAACTTCTCTTACTTGCTGTTCCTGCGAGCTCTGACCACCAATATCACTACTCCTGATGGCTGCCACCGCAAGAATGATCTCAATGATGGAGCATATGATGATCAGGGAAGAAACAGCCACCATGAAGTTTTGCTTTGCGGTAAAGTTTATGTTCACCAGCTGGTCCCAATCAAAGAAAAGGGGATTATGGTAACCTCTGCTTGGTGTTGAGCCATAAACCAAAAGCATCAAACTGGAAAAAGCGACCAGATAGTGGTACACGGTTATCGCTGATACTGCAGCACAGGCTACACTTACAGACTGCAAGGCGTTCATCTGCAAAGGGCCAATAAAAAAAAAAATAAACCAAACAAAAAAAAAATAGTATAAAATAAAAAAAGCATCACAAAAAGTTGCTACTTCCTCTCTTATGGACTCAAGGCTCATGTATTGGTATATCTACTGGGAATTACTTAGCGTACATTCCACCTGGCGGAAAATGAAAGGATCCCTCATGATGCGTAAATGTAATAGCTTATATTTCGTACCAGAGTTAAGGAAGGTCTTTGCGTGATGCTTAAAGTCACTCCCATGATACCAGCGGCCAACACCTTAAAGAAACAAAGCTAGTGCATTAAAAAATGTCTCGTTTCAAAAATTACTCTGATATGCGCAATCTGATTGACTTAAGATCCATTGAACCGATAAACCATAACTACTTTATCTATCTGATGCCGATTACTGAAAAAAAGTGAGAAGCATTCACACAATGCGCACATATTCATCTTGTGATTTATAAAATTGTAGAACACACGCACAGATTGTAAATCCTTCCCTCTTTTATGATGAAAAACCTTTTCTCGTGTCCTTCCGCGTGGGTTGTTACGCCGGTAAACCGATAGGAGGTGCGATCCTTTGCTTAAATGTTTGACACCCATAAAATGTTTGGATAAACACCAAGAAAACTAGATGGCATCCTTGGCTGAGGATTACCAACCGTTTTTCCTCTGGTGGTGTATAAACAGTTGTGCAAACTTTAAAATAAGAACTGAAAGACGTGTTCACTCGAGACAAGAGTACAAATCTTACCGGACTTCCTCGGTAAACAATTTTTTTAAAAATTTTTCTTTCCGTTTTTTTATCGCTTGATAAACCTGCATGGTCACTGTTGCGCATAGGTACACCAATACCTCCGCCATGAAGTGAAGCCAATCATTATAAACACTCTATAATTACTGAGTAATTGCATTTGTTACGAAAACAATACTGTTACCACCAACACCATTATGTATTGCGGCATGACTCGGCATCGAATTGTTCTGAGCATGACCGTTGTTAGATTGAAATTGCACTGTAGGCCGGTTCTCTTGGGATTACATTTGGTCTGACCACTTATCATACTGACAAATAGCATTACGACAACGTTGAGAAAAACATGCGTTACGCCTGCTCACTGAAATATCGTACGGGGGAAGAACTGGTCGAACTTTCATTTGCCTCTGTGTTTGAAAGATCGATTCTTTTTTTTTTTTTTAATTCTTCTAGCGATAAGTGAAGCAAAGAACGAAACTGTTTATTCGCAAATTTTCGTTTCGTGTTCTAAGTTACATTTTCGAACGAAGCGGAAACTTTCTTGAAAACGATATTTGAGAAGTAATCACAACATCAAATCCTATATAATTACGTTACTTTACACTTTGTGAAATATGTATATATTTTTTTAAATTCAAACAGGTTTGCATTTTGACGAAAAGTTTATTCATAGTGGAAGGCATATGACACACTTTGTTACAAATTATTTATTAAATTAGTAGTTAGTTTGGTTTGTAGTACGCGTTAGGATTGACTTGAATTACTGGTTCGTGACTAGTCGGTGCTTTGTTGCTTTTGCTGCAAAATCATGGATAATAAAAGGCCTTCATGTCTCGGTGCAATTCCTTTCTTTAGTATGTCGACACAGATGAATCAAACACTATTGAGCACAGTCATTTTCTAAGACATGTTCCATTCCATTTCATTTTCTTGGGCATGTGAGTCAGGTAACAAGTATTGTTTAGTTGATAAATAGAAACTGCCTTCACTCAACATGATTTCGCAATTTTGGCGCCGCATAAGAATTTCTTACCGAAATATCGAGACAAGAGATTGTCAAATACGTCCTCTAACTTTAACTTGAAGTAACAATTTTCTGACTTTTTTACTTACAAGGAACGCTAGCCAACAGGGGATGAAAGTCATACTGGAAAACACAAAACGCACGCCGAGTCCATCAACAAGCCCCAAGGTGAAAAGCACTCCACAGATAATAACCTGGATGATGGAGATCACCTTCAAGTCGTTTCTGTTGAAAGCCATTTCGAGTCAGTAGAGGTACGGAGATCAAAACGCGTGCTGTTTGATCCACACCTTCAATGCAGAAATGTCTAGTGATCACGTATATTCAAATTAGGCATTTCATGAATTAAAGTCGCAATTGGTTTCATCTGAGGGACTTGGGTAGGAGAATGAACAGATATTGAAAGAGTTATAGAGCGTTCTAAAATCATACAGTCGTGACAACACGAAATACGAAAACCATATTAACTGGCTTGTTTTCTACATTTTGTAACGCTTGCTTTAGGAGAACCTCTCATTCTAGTCGAGTGGAAGAGGCGGCTGACTCGCGAAAGTTCGAGTTTCAGTGTTCACGACCACATTCAACTTATTAATATATGAAACCTGAAGTTGATCAAGAGAAATTCCCCGACTCATTAAATGTAAATCTGTTTTATCTTAGTTTTTCAGTTTCTCGCGGAAGCTCGAACTCCGGAGTAAACACAAGGCAAATGATTAACCAGCGAAAGTGTTCTCACATATGAGTGAAACAATTTCGAGGTTTCAATTCAAGCGCGAAAACAAATCAGCAAAATGCAGGTACGAGCCAATTAGCATGGTACGAGTGCAGATCGAATCTGCATAATGCAAGGACAAATTAAATCTGCATTGTGCAATTTGCCAAGAAAGTCAGCCCTACACAAGTGTAAAGAAAATGATTAGGAAGATATATAGGTGCGGATCAAATCGGCATTATGCAAAGCCAGATTAAATCATCCCAGGGAAAGCGCAAGGTGAATCTGCAGAATGCAAGTAAAATTAAACATGTATAAAGAAATTATTTAGACAATGTATAAACTTAGTGCAGTCAAATCCGGCGGCATAACGCAAGGCTAAATTAAATCGCCTTAGAGGAGGCGCAGAGCAGTAAATCTGCAAAATTCAAGGGTAAATCAAACATGCATGACGAAATTGTCAACCGTCCGGTTACTAATGGGCCCTCGAACGCCTTATCATTCCCTTATTTGCTTTCTCCTATTTATTTCGCAAAACCCACTCCCGTGAACTAAATCAAAAATTATTTACCGAAAGTACAGGTGAATAGTGGTGGATATATACCTTGCAGCTTCGCAGCTCGGTAAATATCCACCACTCTTACTGATACTGAGGTGAATAACCGTTTTAGTAGTATATGCCATATACATTAACCAAAAAGATTAGTTTCTGTCGGCTGCTGGGAGGTGAATGGTACCCTCTAGGGCTAATAAGGGTGTTCACAATATAGTCGACCTTGTACTAAGCGGTCACCCACGGGGAGTGGTGGAATGATCGCGTAAACAGTTACCGATCAGGGGTATTACTAAAAGCGATAAAAACGCCACTTTATGCCATAATTGACCACTTCATATGCAGAATCTTGGTTGCAAATAGTACTTCCTTTTATTGTTGTAGAGAAACATAGATTAAAAAGTACTTAAAATAGTATTCTTATTTTTATTTGAGTGGTTCCGCTTTCAGTGACTGTTCAATACAAGTGAAAGACAATAAAAAACAGGCGGTTGGGACTTACTAAACGGTGACTGTGACCGCCAAATAGATGTGACCGCTTAATATAGGTACATTTTACAGTAATTAAGGGATAAAACATTCGGGACTTGAACGATTGCAACTGACAGCTAAATACATGGTGACGGCTTAATAAAGGTTCAACTGTAGCTACTAATTAGTAGTGTCTGGAAAAGCCATCAGTGGTTGGGCTGCAACTGAGGTCGGCCGCGCTTGCGTATAGATCGGCACCTGATCAGCTTCAAGCTGGCCATGGCAAATCCTTACCTGAAAATGAATTGTGATATGATGTGTTTTATTACCCTGGTTCATTTAATAACTTGTAGTCAATCAAATGTTTCCATTGCGCGATTGGTCTAAAGGCGTTTCATGATTCAATATGCATCAGTTAAAATTGAGGAATATCCGGTGTTAGTGTAAACCACACAGGTGAGTAGTGCTTATCGTACGCCCTGGCTGTTTTGATTTCGCGTTTTGTGACCTAATTAATGTGATCCATAGGTGAGAATTGAGGAATATTAGGTGTTAGCGTACACCACACACGTGAATGTTGGCTGGTTCGAAAGTGACTAGCAAGTACGATTCACCTCCGAGTGGCCAAATTGACATAAATAAACTTTTTTAAATTTTTTTTATTGGGGGGGGAGGGGGGGGGGCTTTCTGTGTGGTATATTGTAAGACAATCAATCGGTGTCGCTTCGCGGGTGGGCAGCACTATTCACCTTCACTAAGGTTAATAATTATTAAATATCGTTTATACACCGTGTCGTCGAGGCAATTTGGCAAACAAACGTCTGCGACTGGTTTGTTTATAGCGTGCTGGCAAACATGTTGATTAAATAAATGACTGATTAGTTTAATGACTGATTACCCAGACGAAAAGATTTGACGAAAATTGACTGACTGGCCAGATAACTGACCGACTAACTGACTGATCATCAAAGTGATTCAAGTTGATAACGCAGAAATATTGAGTTTGTTAGATTCAAGAATCTGGTAATCATCAACTTCTCTAACTTGCTGTTCCTGCGAGCTCTGACCACCTATATCACTGCTCCTGATGGCTGTCACCGCAAGAATGATCTCAATGATGGAGCATATGATGATCAGGGAAGAAACAGCCACCATGGATTTTTGCTTTGCAGTAAAGTTTATGTCCGAATCAAAGAAAAAGGGATCTTTATCATAGTAATCCCTGCTTAGCGCTGAGGCATTACCCAAAGCCATCAAATTGACCAGATAGTGGTACACGGTTATCGCTGATATTGCAGCACAGGCTACACTCACATCTGCAAAGGGCCAAAAAAAAAATTATAAACAAATAGTGAAATATAAAAAAGGTATCACAAGTTGCTACTTCCTCTCTTATGGATTCAAGGTTTATGTATTGGTATATCTACTGGGAATTATTTAACGTACATTCCACCTGGCGGAAAATGAATGGATCCCTCATGATGCGTAAATACAATAGCTTATATTTCGTACCAGAGTTAAGGAAGGTCTTTGCATGCCGCTTAAAGTCACGCCCATGATACTAGCGGCCAACACCTGAAAGAAACAAAGGTAGTGCATAAAAAAATGTCTCGTTTCAAAAATTACTCTGATATGTGCAATCTGATTGACTAAACATCCATTGAACCGAATAAGTTATAACCACTTTGTCTAACTGTTGTCGATTACTGAAAAAATAAAAAAAATAAATAAAAGCATTCACACAATACGTACATATTCATCTTGTGATTTACAAAATTGTAGAACACTCGCACAAGTTGTAAATCCTTCGCTTTTTTTAAAATGAAAAACCTTTTGTCGTGTCCTCCCGCGTGGGTTTTTACGCCAGTAAACCGATAAAAGGTGCGGTCCATTGCTTAAATGTTTAATACGCATAAAATGTTTGGGTGCACACCAGGAAAACTAGATGGCATCTTTGGCTGAGAGTTCTTGAGTATTTTCCCTTTGGTGGTTTATAAACAGCTATGCAAACTTTAAAATAAAAACTAAAAGACGTGTTCACTCGAGACAAGAGTTCAAATCTTACTGGACTATCTGAGTTAACCTTTTTTTTTTTTCGATTTTTCTTCCCTTTTTTTATCGCTTCCTGTCAGTCTGATTAGCCTAACCCACTTGGTATGTTTGTAGAACACTCGCACAGGTTGCCAGCCTTTCGCTTCGTTTATTTGAAAAAACCTTTTCTCGACTCCTCCCGCCTGGATTATTACGCCGGTAAACCGATAGAAGGTGCGGTCCATTGTTTAAACGTTTAACACGCATAAAATGTTTGGAGGCACATCAGAAAAACTAGATGGCATCCTTGGCTGAGAGATATCTACCGTTTTCCCTCTGGTGGTGTATAAACAGCTCTACAAACTTTAAATAAGAACTAAAAGACGTGTTCACTAGACACAAGAGTACAAATCTTACCGGACTCCCTTGGTAAACCCTTTTTTTTAATTTTTCTTTCGCTTTTTTATCGCTTGCTGAACCTGCATGGTCACTGTTCTCATGCACTGTGTGTTGCAGAAATTCTGCAACCAATAGTCCACTGGATGTCGCAGAAATTCTGCTACCACTCACACACTGGATGTTGCAGAAATTCTGCGACCGTTTATAATAATAATAATACAGTATTTATATAGCGCTATTTCTATTCAATATTCAATAGCGCTTTACAATTCATTTATAACAATTAACATTTTATATGATCAAAGGCGCTTTACAATTAGTGTCTCTTCCACCCATCCCACCCCAGGGGAGGACATCCACCACACAGTAATCTCGTGCGTGGGAAATTAACGTCTCCTACCCCAACCCTGCAGGAGACGGGGCCTACGGTTTTACGTCCTATCCGAGAAGACGAAACACTGGGGTGTTGCAGAAATTCTGCGACCACTCATACTCTAAGTGTCGCAGAAATTCTGCAACCACTCATACACTGGGTGTCGCAGAAATTCTGTGACAACTCATACGCTGGGTGTTGCAGAAATTCTGCAACCACTCATTCACTGGGTATCGCAGAAATTCTGCAACCACTCATTCACCAGGTGTTGCAGAAATTCTGCGACCACTCATACACTGGGTGTTGCAGAAATTCTGCAACAACTCATTCACTGAGTGTCGCAAAAATTCTGCAACCTCTCATTCACAAGGTATTGCAGAATGTCACAGAATGTCACTGAATGTCACAGAAACACTGTGACAACTCATACACTGGATGTTGCAGAAATTCTGCATCCTCTCATTCACTAGATGTTGCAGAAATTCACTCATGGATACAGGAATATAACAATCTTTCTCTAGCCAGTCAATAACAGATGCCACGAATATTCTGTCAATTAACTTTCAACAGGAATTATGTACCTAAAATAGCACATGGCTTAATGCCACATGATAAAATGCAAATATTAAAAGTGTTAAAAAAAAAGTAAGCAATACAACATACAATCTTAGTCATATCACTTTATTTTATGATCAGATACAAAAACTGACTGAAAAATATCATTAATTTAATAAAATTGAAGTTTGTTAGACAGCAAATAAGCAATCTACTCTAGCCAAAATATAGTCACGATTTCAGTCCTTTGACCTATTTTAAAATATCTGTATACGTGATGAATTGAGAGCAAATATATCATTTAAATCTTGCATTGTCTTGCAAAAGACTAAAGGGAAATTAATGCTCAACCTTCTGATGAAAACTTTAAACCGTTTACTATTCAGAGGAAAACTAAATTAACAGTATCACAGATTTTAATTAATATCTCCACCAATGTTTACAGTAGGTAATAATGCTACATGTGTATCTCAATAAGAGGGCAAAAATAAGCCTCTAGGAAAAACAATCTCTCTTTGTCAGCTGCAACTGTTTCCAGACTAAGAAAAATCAAACCGTGCAATGTTGCCTAATAAGTCACAAACCAGTGAAAGGGATAATGTACTGAAGACCCACTCTACAAAGCCATTGTGAGGGCGCCTTCTGGTTTTGGCCGGGTTCTGCATTGAAAACAACGACGGAATCCAAGAAATCTGAAATAATTCACTAATGTTTATCGAAGCGTAATTCAACCGAAGTGAATCATGCATCGTATCAATTTTCGCAACAACAAAATTGGCCTAAAATGTGCTTTTATCAAATGTTTGTGGGTTCTACATCTCCATCGAGGACTGAAAACATACAATTCATAAATAAGAGATAGACTTAGAGATGACGATTCCATGAGCGTTTGGTAAAATTGTATCTATATCCATGAGATCGCAAACTTGTGCCTAGCAAACAAAGTTTCACTCAGACCATTTATCGTTACCTAATCGCTCTATATTTATCGTTACCCAGTCGCTCTGACGAAGGGAGAACGCTCGAAACGTCAGCCTTTAAATTCTTTACAGTGGCCAATTTACGTTGTCAACTCAGTTGATAACACTAAATTACATTTATCGTTACGATACATTACGACTGAAGTTCGCGTTACCTGTCACACTTGCTTACTTCTGACCTCTTGTCAACCTTGGAATTTGAAAAGTTATCGACACTGAATTGCTGCTTGTGATACTTTGTATTCAGGTGATTGTTGAGTCCGTAAAGGTACCAAGACGACAGGCATAAACACAACATGCTTTAATACGATCGATTCATGCAGCTAGAACCCCGCGACCTCCTACTGCCGGTCAGCGGTCAGTTAGGACTTCATGTTACTACAGTGATTTTAACTTTACCTTCAATTTCTAATTGACTCTCTAAATCCGGAATTATTTCTCCATAAATGTGAAAGATCCTGCATTCAAAGAATTGTTTGAGTCATCGAAGTCAACCCACTGATCTTCATTGGGATGTCTTTCCTCTGGTGGTGATTCCCGAATCGTAAAAATTATCATGGCTCGTAGAACTGGGATATGTTTCCGGTGTCCTCGCCATCATCGGTTGAAATATTTTTGTTCGACGGATACAAATTAACTCCACTCAGAGTCTGACAAGAGTGCATAGCAAACAAAACTGACTAAAGACCAATTCTACGATTTTTTGGGATATTACGAGCGGATGTCGGCGGTTTGTAAAACAATAGGTTGAAGGGACTTTTGGCCCCTCGTCGGTGAAATTGCACCGTGCACAGCTTACGAGTTCTAATCGAAATACTAACCCTATACTCGCCAATTAGGTATAGAATGCAAACGAATGGAGACTTCATATCTTTAACTAGGCCTACCGTGAGCGCTAAGCATGTGAAGGTCAGTATTCATTGAGCGAAATCGGTGCCTTTTAAGAGTAAATGTCAGTAAAAATCAAGGAAAATTAAAAAAACGTGGCCACGGTCAAAAAATCGATTGCGCTCATACTTTGTCAGTTTGAAGGCCTAGGTAAGTAACTGAAGGATATGAGGTTAGTTTTTTGAAATATTCCATATAACGGCAGAAAACCACGAAAAACGGTCACCCTACCGGAAGCTCGGATTTCACCTGGCGGAAACTCGAAATTTTACACTTTTCAGCTTCTCGCTACACAGACGTTTACATAGCTGTGAATCTTTCTTAAGTATAATTGAATACATTGATTCTTCCTTAGTCAAACCATGGGAATTATTTTTATCTCTGCTTATTTGTGAGCGAACTGAGACCCGATTAAGAAGACACACTTTTCTCATTTACGCGAAGGTGTAAAATAATCCAAACTCAGCGACGAAAAAAGCTGACCGGTAGTTCTTCAAATCCTCTGATATTATAACCAAAGACAGTTCAGTCATTGATTTTTATGTCTCCGGTTTTAAATCTTTAGGATCTAGTAGCACTTTTGCATGAACGCCGATCAAAATTCGATAAAATTCCAATTGAGCGCCTTTGAAATCTACAACTCTACATAACAAAGCACTATTTGAATAAATTAACTCCTCGGCCAAAGTTTGTACATAAAACATAAGGTTTTTGCTTTTTTAGCGGTTTGAAGCGTTTTAAAAATATATATTAATGTTAAATATTGTCTACACAGGTAAAACAAACTATGAAACACCAAAATTACCACGAGCTGAAATTAAATCTCACAGGCTCGCTCCCTAATCTGCGTCACGCACGAGCGACTTAGCTACAATTAGTACAGTAACAAACAGATATTTACATCCGTTGATTTTAAATAAGTCGTATTTTTAAAATATCTTACTCAAAGATGTGCCAGGCTTCCCAGTTAACTTGCTGAAAAAAAAAAGAAAACCTTAATAGTAATTCTAGCTCAATCAGAATTGATTTTATTTAGTATGAGAAGTTTTGTGCCGTCGAAAACCAATCGGAAGTAACTGTTTCCACGAAAAGCAAATATTGCATCGTTCTCTAAATAAACAAATCTACTTAACCATATAACCAGAGTATGTTGTTGGCGAAGTTAATAGACATACATAACAACGACGTCTTGCTCGTTCTTGAATATTGTCGGTGGGATTTGCGGCGCAGACGAACGCACTTGCTAAGTAACTTCCAATGGCTAATTTCTACCCTTACTAAGCTTTCGTCACACTGCTCACGCTGTGTAACAAGGATATAAAACATCGCACGAAGTCCTAAAAAACTCTCCAGACTTGAACCAGAATTGATTTTAGCAAGATTGCGTGTTTTTAAAAGCCAACGAGTTTATTGGAGATGACTACCCGTACCGTCTCATCGTGTCACTTAGGCATAACCTGACACGATGTCGATAGTTTCGACTCCTGATGGCCGAGAGCACTCGGATTTCTTTTTTTCCGAGTACGCCTGTGTCACTTACTGAATAATACATCATTCTCATTTATTCACCAGGCTTAAAAATATTCCATCACATTTATTCCATTGCGCGTATGCCACACATGACATTCCAATCCTAGCAGTATGCAGGATGTTTGTACCATGAAGCACTCGGACTATACAGTGCAACGCACTATACAGTGCACACACTAATATAATCGCAATCCATAAAAAAATGAGAGGCATTAAATAAAGGTTGTTATAAAAAAATTGGATTGGACAACTGAATGAAGAGATAAGTAACGAAATGTCCTTCATCAACCTTACTTATTTCTCTCCGTCGTTTAAACAAGTGATTCTGTCATATAATCTCAAGTCATCAGAATGAATAGACTAAAAATAATTCATTGGAGACAGTCTCTGTTTGGTAGAACATTAAGTAGTTGGTTGCTTACCTGAGCCCACAGGGACAAGCTGTTTTGAAAGCTCAAATATCTTCATGGATTGGAATAAATTTATTCCTTTTTCCAGTGCGGGTGCCTTCCTCAGCTCCTTGCAGTGACCAGAAACAACTTCCGGGATGGTGCAAAGATTACCCGTCCTTCGCCAACCTAAACCTAACTTGGCACGATGAACCGGACAGATAGTCATATCCGATAAATTCGCCGGCTTTTGAAAACATCCACATCTCGCCAAAATTAATTCTACCTCCGTTTCAATTCCGGAAAATTTCAACGACTTTTTGTGATTTTTGATATCCCTGTTACACCGCGTGAGATGCGTGACGGAAGTTGAAGAACTTGTGCGTTCGTCTGCGCCGCAAATCCCACCAACAATATTCAAGAACGAGCAAGACATCGCTGTTCTATGAAGTTCCCCGACAATAAACTCTGGTTTTAGATGCAATGTTTCACAGATAAAGACAATTCGATTTATTTATTTAAAGAACGATGCAATTTTCGTGAGAACAGGTACTTCTGATTGGCTATCGACGGCATAAAGCTTCTCATTCTTAAGAAAATCAATTCTTATCGTTTCAGTTTGAATTGCTATTATGATATTTTCTTTTATTTTTACTTCAGCAAGTTAACTGGGGAACCTGGCACATCGTTGAGTAAGATATTTTAAAATAAGACTTATTGTAAATTAACAGATGTAAATATCTGTTTGTAACTGTACTAATTGTAGCAAAGTCGCTCGTGCGTGACAGATTAGGGAGCGAGCCTGTGAGATTTAATTTCAGCTCGTGGTAATTTTGGTGTTTCATAGTTTGTTTTACCTGTGTAGACAATATTTAACATCAATATATATTTTTAAAAGGTTCAAACCGCTAAGAAAGTAAAACCCTCATGTTTTATGTACAAACTTTGGCCGAGGAGCTAATTTATTCAATAGTGCATTGTTATGTAGAGTTGTAGATTTCAAAGGCGCTCAATTGGAATTTTATCGAATTTTGATCGGCGTTCATGCAAAAGTGCTACTAGATCCTAAAGATTTAAAACCGGAGACATAAAAATCAATGACTGAACTGTCTTTGGTTATAATATCAGAGGATTTGAAGAACTACCGGTCAGCTTTTTTCGTCGCTGAGTTTGGATTATTTTACACCTTCGCGTAAATGAGAAAAGTGTGTCTTCTTAATCGGGTCTCAGTTCGCTCACAAATAAGCAGAGATAAAAATAATTCCCATGGTTTGACTAAGGAAGAATCAATGTATTCAATTATACTTAAGAAAGATTCACAGCTATGTAAACGTCTGTGTAGCGAGAAGCTGAAAAGTGTAAAATTTCGAGTTTCCGCCAGGTGAAATCCGAGCTTCCGGTAGGGTGACCGTTTTTCGTGGTTTTCTGCCGTTATATGGAATATTTCAAAAAACTAACCTCATATCCTTCAGTTACTTACCTAGGCCTTCAAACTGACAAAGTATGAGCGCAATCGATTTTTTGACCGTGGCCACGATTTCTTTGATTTTTACTGACAATCACTCTTAAAACCGCCGGCGTCGCGGCTCTTTAGTTTTATAATTAACCATAATTGAGTGCATGCCCAATGTGCCGCCAGTGTACTTATAGCCCGCCGGGACGAAGAAAAATAGATCTGTTTCCTTAGTATGGTTATAAAAAAAACCCTCAAATTTCTGAGCTTAAAAAGGTTTAGTGTGGACAAGGCCTTACAATTGCAAGGCATTTCGAACAGTTAACAAGCAAGAGAAAGAATCTAGGAAGCTTTAAGTTGATTAGATTAGCACTCACGGAAAAATGTCATATTCTTAATTGATTCGAAGGTGTGAAAACCTCAGACAGAAATGTCGTTGTTTGCGACTCTCTCTTCGCCGCTCTTAATTGCGCCCTAAATTTTATTACAAGAGAGGCAATGATGAGAAGACACGAGTTCATGATTCATCGGTCTGTCGGCTTTGAAAATAGTTGGTCTTAGTCCGTTAAATTCTTCATACGCCAGATGCCTCCGAAAGATAAGGGGAATGGGAGTATTGGAAGTATGGTGCATCAAAATAATACAATCAGGAGCTGCGTATCTTTACAGAACAGGAACAAGAGTTCACCTTTTCTCCAAAAATAATTGGTGCGGACTTTTTGCAAAAGTCATCACATTCCTTTGCTGGACCCTGTGGAGAATCACTTTCTGAGAGGAAACTTAAGGTATGAATAAACTGGTGCATCACGAAGGGTTTATACGTGACACGTGATGAGGGCCAAAGTTATAATGCGACGCGTGAATTTTACTGAAAGGTTAACGTTATTCGTGAATTTACGAAATTGTATGAGGCCTGAAGTATACTTGAACCTGAATTTTTTCTTTTTTTTCCATAGCGTGAAAACCTCAAGATTTCCCTGAAACCATGAACAAAAGAGGAGAGATTAGAAATTTTCTCTTTTATGTCCATGAAGCATGAACTGATTTTTTGAAAATTCGTCTTAAGCCTGCAATATCTTACTAGTCCTCTCTCAGGAAAAATTAGTTCCAACGAATTTACTGAAGGGATGCGTTTCAATTTGCTTCAATAAACCCACGGTTATACGAAAGGTTCAGTACAGCTAAACTTCAGTAAAACATTATCTGCGCGAAAGCCAAGCTAGCCTAGTTACACCAAGACCTGTTCAAATCATAGTCAAGATAGTGTTGATGAATTCATACATCCTGTTTTGAAATGTCCATGTGATGTAACTTCACTTTCTTTTAATTTTTCAGATCCATATGTACAGAAGGAGGCCTTACAAACCCCCGTAATTGTACACTGGTCTGTTTCAAGGCAAATGACACCTAGACAATTATGTGTAAGCAGTGAAAGACTAATTTTCTTGGATACTATTGCATCAACAGTATTGCATCGCCTTGTGAACAGAAGGAAGAGGAGTCAAAAATCTAAATCTTGCATCGTCAGTTGAAATCAAAATTATTGAACGGGTAACTTCGAGGAAAAACATTTATCTCATATCAATTGATGACGATATCGTCACTCAGTGATGGTGATGTAAATTCGGCTTCAAGTGTCCTCATTCCAAGGTCACCTAATTTTAAATTTCTTTAAAAATGAACAGATCATCCTATTCTGCAACAGATGAGCTCTCCTTATGCCAAGACAGGATTACTTCCATCTTTTATTTGATTAAACGAAATTTTAAAAAATTTGAAAACAAACTTTAAAAAGAATCTTAAATGTGTTAGGAGCTCATCCTGAATGTATACAAAAATTCAATTACACGATTTTTTTTTTTGCAGGGAAGAGAAAATTAATTTTCTTTCAACAACTTACCTTTTGGCATTTGATTAAAAGCCTGCATGATTTATGAATAGTTCTGTTTAATAAAGCGGGTATGGGCCTCTGTTAATAGCCTTTAGTTTCCAACCGTGGATTTCTTTTCACAAGTTTATCCTGTCATTCAAAAAACATCAGCATACAGAGTATTGTTATTTCAACTATGATCACTGAAAAATAGAAAAAGCATAAATAGAAAACTGATCGAAACTGTTGGTATGCGTAGGCCCTCTACAATTTGTCTTTTTTGAGAATGGAAAAGCAACGACTCAGAATTTCTGCAGCATTGACCTTGCAACACATAAAATTTCTTTAACTCAGGATGTCATTGCTTGCAGAATTTCTGCTGCTGCGGACGTCATACCGTGCAGAATTTCTGCAGCCCTGGACGTCAAGGCGTGCAGAATTTCTGCAGCACTGGACGTCAAGGCGTGCAGAATTTCTGCAGCACTGGACGTCAAGGCGTGCAGAGTTTCTGCAGCACTGGCGTCAAGGCGTGCAGAATTTCTGCAGCACTGGACGTCAAACCTTGCAGAATTTCTGCATCATTGGACGCCATACCATGCAGCATTTCTGCAGCACTGGACGTCAAGGCGTGCAGAATTTTTGCACGCTTGGGCCGTCAAACTTTGCAGAATTTCTGCATTACAGTTCTTGATACCATGTCAAATAAAAATGAAAAAAAAAACCGCTTAAACATATTCAGGGTTAAAATCAAAGACTTTATCGTTCCATTCTTAAACGTGCAGAGCATTATGTGCACTTTGACCAGATTTAACAAGCAACGCAGTAAAAAAATGAATATTTGTACGAGTAAATTGTACCTACGTTTAACTTTCCGTTGAATTATACAAAATGTTGCTCTTTTGAAGCAACACATTTTCTTAATCCGTGAAAACTGAAGCGTTTTCCTTTTATCAAATAGGAGAAATTTCCGTGTTTTTTGCTTAAGTAGTGCTGCTTTAAAGCCAACATTTCATTTTGTCTGGAAAAAAGCACGATATTTTGCGGAATCGATATGAAAAATATGTCTGAAAGGTCCATTTTTCACGGAAAATGCTATTTTGGAAAACACAAAATAGCTTGGAAAGCGTTAAACCTCGAAAGGTTTGAATTTTGACGAAAAGTTTATTCATAGTTGAAGACATTGGTGCATAGATAATGAAAGACCTTCATTTCCCGATACAATTCCTTTCATGAGTATGTCCGCTGACACAGAGATAAATCAAACACTATAAAGCGCAGTTATTTTCTCATGCAAGTTCAATTCCATTCCATTTTCTTGGGCATGTGAGTAAGTTAACAACTTTTGTTTAGTGATGAATGGAAACTGCTTGCACTCAATATCCACAAGATTTCGCAACTTTGGAGCCGCATAAGAATTTCTTTCCGAAATATCGAGACAAGAGATTGTTAAATACCTACTCTAACTTTAACTTGAAGTAAAAATTTTTTTTAACTTGATACTTTTTACTTACAAGGGCCGCTAGCCAACAGGGGACGAAAGTCAAACTGGAATACACAAAGCGCACACTGACTCCATCAACAACCCCCAAAGTGAGAAGCATTCCGCAGATGACAACCTGGATGTTGGAGATTATCTTCAAGTCGTTTCTGTTGAAAGTCATTTCGAGTCCGTTCAGTCACGTACGGTGATAAAAACGCGTGCTGTTTGATCCACACACCCTATGCGGAAACTTTTAGTCATCACGTATATTCAAATCAGGCATTTCATTAATTAAAGTCACGATTGGTTTCATCTGAGGAACCTGTGTAGGAGAATGAACAGATATTGAAAGCGCTCTAGAGCTCATAAAGTCGTGACAACACGAAATGCGAAAACCATAGTAACCGGTTTGTTTTCTAAATTTTGCAACGCTTGCGTGGAACAGGCGGCTGACTCGCGAAAGTTCGAGTTTCAGTGTTCACGACCACATTTAACTTATTAATATCTGAAACCCAGAATTGATCAAGAGAAAATTCCCCGACTCATTAAATATATATCTGTCTTATTTTGTTTTTCAGTGTCTCGCAGAAGCTCGAACGAGTAAAACACAAGGCAAATGAAATTAACCCAACTCCTGCAGTTAAAAAAAACGCACAAATTTGTCCACATTCAGTTTTTAATTCATATCTCAACAAATATTTACAGGAATAACACCTACAATATGTCATTTTAAAGTGTATAGAATGGGCTTCTCAGGAAAAAAAAAAATCATCATTGAAACCCAGGACTTTCCTAAAAAGTAAAATTTAAAACACAAAATAAATAAGACATAGTGTAAAACTTGAGGTAAAAGTCACTTTTCCTCATAGGTATAGGTTAATCAAGATTAATTGATAGCAGAAGTTAATTATTAACATGTCAACAACATTTCCTGAAAATTTGAAAGAAAAAGAATAAATAATGAATTTTTTATGAATTTTTATGTGCACCCATGTCATTCCAAAAAAATTAGCAAAAATTTGTCCACATTCAGTTTTTAATTCATATCTCAACAAACATTTACAGGAATAACACCTACAATATGTCATTTTAAAGTGTATAAAATGGGCTTCTCAGGAAAAAAAAAATTCATCATTGAAACCCAGGACTTTCCTAAAAAGTAAAATTTAAAACACAAAATAAGTAAGACATAGTGTAAAACTTGAGGTCAAAGTCACTTTTCCTCACAGGTATAGGTTACTTAAGATTAATTAATAGCAGAAGTTAATTATTAACATGTCAGCAACATTTCCTGAAAATCTGAAAGAAAAAGAATAAATAATGAATTTTTTATGAATTTTTATGTGCGCCCATGTCATTCCAAAAAATTAGCAGGGGGGGCATTGCAATAAGATCGAACCCTGAAATCTCCCCTACCCTCTTTATAACATACCACACAGTGTCTCTGAGTATCAGAGAAAACTGGGATATGGACAGTTGTAAATTCCTCTGGGGTGGAAGGGGGTGATTTCATCATGGTATTCTCTGGTGGACTACCATAATCGGGTAAACCACAGAGTTGCCGACAATTTCTTCCCAGAAATCACCCAAAGAATAGTGAGAGGGCCTTTTTAGAGCTTCATTGTCAGGAAACTGAGCCTGATGCTCTTTGAAAAGGATAAAGCCATTGATTACAGCCATGTCAAATAGGTGGTAAACCATAGTTTTCCACCACTTCATGGACTTACGTAGAACACTATTTGTGGTTAGAATCTGGTAGCAGCAGAAGGAGCAGAGGGGCCACCAACAACACATTCAAACAAAAATATAATTTTCAATGAATAAATCAATTATCCTCAACATTTATAGAATAATATCCTAAACAAATTCAAGTTATTCTATGGTATACGCATTCGGAAATTATATTTGTTGTTAAATTTCGCAGGTTGGAAATATTTCACTCACCAGGAGCCATGGGTTCCTAAGTCGAAGCGCAAGCCTCCTCCGGCCGATCGTCATCTTCAACTTCTCCCTCGCTAAAAATATAAAATGTACACTGCTTATATTCCGTAAAATACTCAAAATTAACCGAATGAACAAACGATACTAAACTAAATCGCCAAATCGCCAACGAATCCCAAGCATCCGACGCGTTCGAAAAATACATTTCTCCATAGCAATAACTAGCAGCTGATCGAATTACGCGTCTAATATTTCGCTTGTGCAAATAGTTTGAATCGCATCACATCTCATCGCTAAAAACACACTCTTAGCGTAAATTATTGATTTTCAGAGTTGCAAAAATCAATTTGTAATCAAATTTCAAGAAGTACGCGAGAAATCAATCACAAAAGGGCTATCTGAGGCGAACAACTTCGCATTTCAAGACAACATGTGCGATGGCGACCATTTTGCGATGGCCGATATTGACTTCTCACCTCGATCTGCCGGTCTAAATCACTTTCTTCTCCACTGTCCATCCCATCAGCGGTGTCTTCATCGTAAAATATTTTTTCTAAAGCAATTTCTGCGGAGATAAAGCTCACCCGTGCACACTTCGACGATGAGGCCATCTTCGACGGTGAAATTTTAGCACTCAAATGAACGTTGTGTAGCACACATTTAACTGTCGCCCTTCAAACTCGCTACATGATTTGTTTAATCTTTTAGCGTCATACACACCAAATTTGGAAGGAATCGGGAGTAACGCGATATTCGACGAGACAACCGGAAATGATGGGTGGAATTCCACCCATAGCCGCGGGGGAAAGTGTCCTCACATATGAATGAAACAATTCCGAGGTTTCAATTCAAGCGCGAAAACAAATCGGCAAAATGCAGGTACAAGCCAAATTAGCATGGTACGAGTGCAGATCGAATCGAAATTATTAAATCGGCCACTAGTGTCCAAAGTCCAAAATTAAACATGCATGAAGAGCGAATGAAACAGAAATTATCTACACAATGCATAAGCTTAGTGCAGTCAAATCCGGCGGCATAATGCAAGGCTAAATTAAATCGCCTTAGCGAAAGCGCAGAGCAGTAAATCTGCAAAATTCAAGGGCAAATCAAACATGTATGATGAAGTTGTCAATCATCCGGTTACTAATGGCCCTCGAACGCCTCACCATTCCCCTATCTGCCTTCTCCTATTTATTTTGAAAAACCAACTCCCGTGAACTAAATAAAAAATTGTTCACCAAAAGTACAGGTGAATAGTGGTGGACATTTACCTCACAGCTCGGTAAATATCCACCACTCTTACTGATGCTGAGTGAATAACTGTTTCAGTAGTATATGCCATATACATAAACTAAAAATATTAGGTGAGTGGTGCCCTCTAGGGCAAATAGGGGTGTTCAAAATATAGTCGAACCTGCATTAAGCGGTCACCCATAGGGAGTGGTGAGGTGACCACTTAATACAGTTTGACCTCTTGATATAGGTTTCACCGATCAGGGGTATTTTTAAAAACGATAAAACGCTACTTAATATCATAATTGACCACCTCAAGTGCAGAATCTCCTTGCAAATATTACTTACTTTTATTGTTGTAGAAAAAAATAGATAAAAAATTACTTAAAATAGTATTTTTAGTTTTATATGGGTAGTTCCGCTTTCAGTGACCGTTCAACACAAGTGAAAAACAGTTAAAAAACAGTCGATTTGGACTCGGTAAACGGTGACTGCGACCGCTAAATAGATGTGACCGCTTAATATAGGTACAATTTACAGTGATTAAGGGATAAAAGATCCGGGACTTTAACAATTGCAACTGACAGCTTATTACATGGTGACGGCTTAAGATAGGTTCGACTGAAACTACTAATTAGTAGCGTACACCGGGCGAACGCCTGATCCTGAAAAAGCCACCACTGGTTGGGCTGCAACTGAGGTCGGTTGCCCTTGCATATGGATCGGCACCTGACCAGCTTCAAGTTGGCCATAGCAAATGCCCACCTGAAAATGAATTGAGATATGATGTTTTTTATTACCCTGGTTCATTTAATAACTTGTAGTCTATAACAGTTCTTCTCTTGCACAATTGGTCTAAACGCGTGTCGTGATCCAGTATGCATCAGTTGAAAATTGAGTAATATCAGGTGTTCAGTATAAACCATGCACACAGGTGA